CAAAAGGAAGGACAGGCTGGGGTGCAGCAGGGGGGATGCCTGCCCCTTAGAACTATGAGTAGGAACACCCTCCCTTCGGTCAGCATGTTCCCTGTTAGAACCTTCGCCACTCCTTCCCTCCTTCCCCAGGGAGGAAGGCAGGGCAGGGGCTGGAAGGCTAGGTCTGGGAGGTAGTGACTTGCTTGTCACAGTGGAGCTGGGGCTAGACACAGGGTCTCCCGCCTCCTTCCCAGCTCGTTGCCCTGGGTGGTCTTCAGAGCTACATCCTTCCGCCACGCCGCAGCCAGAGAGTGGGAGGCCTGATTCTTTATATTTGTGCTGGCCTCCCTGCCCTCTGACAGTCCGGGTAGGCTGTCTGTCCCGCTTTCACACGTAGGGGGTGGGGAGAGCTGTCCAGGAGGAAGAATCAGGAGAGGTGGGTTCTGGGGGACTCTCGTCCAGAGATGCCAAGAGCTGCACAAACTGCCCTTTCAGGGAACCACTCAAAGAGGGCCCTGTTTGGGGGCCTTGGCTGCCCAAGGTGGGAGAAGCCAAAGGAGCCTGTGTGTGTAGGGCTGGGGGGAGCAGGCAGGGGTGGGGGCATGGGCCTGCAGGTTGCTGTGTGCTCAGCAGAATCATGAAATCGGCTAAGGGCTGAGGGAGGAGACGGAAGTTTGTGCCTACTACTCTTCGTCAGCTAGTTCACCCCCTCCCCCAGAGCTTTTGATTTTATTTTATGGGGGAGGGGGCGGGAGAAGGGAAGAGTAGGTGTATTAGATTAGTTCTGGCTATGTGGCCATCCTCCTGCCCCGGCCTCCCGTCAGCTAGGTTGCAACCACGTGCCAGCCTGCTTTAGGTTGTTCTGGGAGCTCAACCCCGGCCTCTGGGCAGCCCCACCCTCACTTAGCAGTGCCTCACCACTTGCACCACCACAGCTGGACCTCACGCCCCCTTTCCTATTCCCAATAAATTCACCCCTTTTAGCAAAGGAGGGGCCCAGAGGAAAGATCTCCCTGAGTTCACACAGCTCGGGGCAGAGCCAGGACCTGGAGGTAGGCGGAAGAGACAGCTTCCAGCCTATTTCTCCGTTGACTCTGTCTCTCACCTTGAGGCTCCCCACAGTTTTCTCCCTCTTAGGAATTACAGCCTGCCTCTTTCTCTTCTCTGCCTCCTCTCCCACTTACACTCACTTTCCTGGTTACAGGATCCCTCCCATCAAGGGCTTGATCTGCCAGTTCCCCTTAAGATTTCCATTACGGAGGGTGCCCCTGTCCCTGATAGGGGTTAGTCTAACGAGATCAGCGATCACCACAAAGGAATGAGGTGCTAAGCGTGGATTCTGGGCACCAGGATAGCTGGGCGGTGACAGGCTCGTCAGCCAAAGGTGCATGGCTCTGACGGATCCCCACAGGTACCACCTCTCTATGTGCTTCTTCAGAAGCACTCCATGTCAGACCGAGCAGAACTATGAAATAATGCTAATGAACGCGTGACTCCTGTTTGCCTGCCCATCACTGCTGGGGCCAGAAGACAGCACTTACTTTCCCTTGCCTATCATCACACGGCATGCCGGTGTTGGAGACGAGAAGAAGCAAGGTTTCCTGGCCCAGAGACCCAGGCTCTTTCCAAACTCCTTGGAGGCCTCTTGGGACAGGAGCACTGGGAGCCAACGGTGGTACCCACTCCCATGACGTCCTATGGGAACACACTGTGTGTGTGGTGTCATCATATATTCACTCAGCCAAGCCTCTATGCTGGGCACTTTGCTGGGGCCGAAGATACAGGGGTGACTGACTGGCTGATTCTGTCCTGTCAGAGTTCTCCACAATGACAATACTAATCGGAGGGAACATACAGAACGCTGCAAAGTCATCAGGGACACGATTATATCTTTCATGTGATGGGGCTCATGTGAAAATTTATTTGGGCCTTAAAGGATAAAAAGGTATGTGTATGTGTGTGTGTGTGTGTGTGTGTGTGTGTGTGTGTGTGTGTTTGTCGTGGTGTGAGAGCTTATCACCCTCATGAGGGCATGAGTCCTTAGATCGTTATTTTTCTAACTCTTAAATAATCCCTATCCATTTTTATTGATAAGTCTAAAGTTTTATTTAGTTTTGGCAATTTGGTTTGGATTTGGTAAATGGAAAAAAATAAATCTATTTTAAAAAAAACTCTATACACTATAAAGTTCAATAAAATCTCACCTGGAGGATTCACTTTTCATCTACATTGGCTCTGCAACGTTGCAAAACTTAGAGCAACGCAATGAGGTTCCTCTATTTCATACTTATCAGGACGGTCTAATTTAAAAAGTGGAAAATGACAAGTGTTGGCAAAGATGTGGGGAAGCTGGAACTCTCAGCATTGCTGGTGGAAATGTAAAATGGTGGCCACAGTGGGAAGCAGCTTGGCGGTTCCTCAGGAAGTTAAACGTCACACTACCCTGTGTGCCACTCCCAGGTATATATCCAGGAGAATGAAAAGTGGGGACTTGAGGAGGTATCTGCACACCAATGTTCACAACAGCCCAAAAGTGGAAGGTGTCCATCAAGAGATGAAGGAATATGAAAGTGATACACGCTTCCTTCAAAATCCTGGGGTATCAGAAAAGTCATGACACGTTTTTGCACAGAAAATCATGACTTTTCTGACAACCCAGTAATTATCAACCTGAGGGTAAGCACCATACATTGAGCTCTCCTTCTCCATCCCTCTTTGCCCTGTTTGCCTGAGATCCGGCTGCTAGCCCAGCTGGGCCTTGTGACCTTCTTGTGATCGTTCCCTGACCCCTTGGAACTGACCGCAGGCCGGGCTGTTCCAGAGGTAAGCACACCCCTCCCACATTTAACGTCACAAGCTTAGAGGCACTAAGACCTAGACATACTCTGCTAATTCTGTTCCTTGTTTAGCTGATCTGGTATTGTAACCCCTAAACAATATATGGCATCACTTGGTTCATGAATGCTTTGTTCTTTTTTTTTTTGGAGAGTTTTTGCTATATGGTGTGTGCGCTCACCAGACAGACACAGAGAGAGGATACAGGGGTGACTGGCTGAGAGACAGAAAGCGAGAAATCACCCCCAGGGGGGATGGCCACACCGTAATCCCTTCTCCTCCATTCTCCTCTCGGGATCTTGGGCACGCATGCACACGTGCCCGGTGTGAGTTTTAAGCCACCAGGTCTGGGATGCGAACCGTGGTCGACTATGTGGGAGTCCAGCGACATGGCCATTACGCTAACTGCTGGTCCCATGAATGCTTTGTTCTTTACATACATAACCCGAGCCTGGATTCATTCATATGGACCATTCTCTGCCTGGCCGTCAGTGGAGTCTCCCTAGTAAGTAAACTCAGGTCTTTTCCTGCTGGACCTCTGGGTGTGTTCTTTGGAATCAGTAAACATCATGAGCAAGCCCCTTCCCCCTAGACCTGCCCACCACTCCCCAGGACACAGCCCTAAAAAGGAATAAAATGTTGATCTGTGCTGCAACATAGATGGACCATTGAAAGCGTTATGCTAAGTGGAAGAAGCCAGACTCAGGACAAGGACTGAAGGAGTCCTAGAATAGGCAACTCTACCACTACAGAATAGAACAGAGGTTACCCAGGTTTGCGGAGGGTGAAGGAGGAGCTATTTAATGGGAACCAAGTTTTCTGGGGGATGATTAAAAACGTTTTGCATATAGATGGTGGTGATGGTACAAAGTGTAGTGTGTGTTAGTTACATGCCACTGAAATTATACATTTATATATGGTTAAAATGAAAACTATTGTTATGCATGTTTTGCCACAATTTATTTTTTATAGTTTTAGTTTTTGCTGTAGGCATGTCATTTATCCAAGAGAAACAGAGAGAGAGAGAGAGAGAAGGAAATGAGAACTCAACAGCTTGGAAGGATGGCCATGCCACAATCCCTTCTCCTCCATTCTCCTCTTGGAATTTTAGACATGCACACACTCACGCACTGGTGCGATTTTCAGACTGCTGGGTCTTCACTGGATCTGCTGACCACATGGGATTCGGCGCCTTAACCTCCATGCCAACTGCTGGCCCCATTTTACCCTAATTTACAAAATAAAATGTGGGTCGACCCTATAGCACAGTGCGTAAACACGATGTGGAGGGGGCCAGATTGCACATGGCTAACCCTATTTGAGTCCCAACCATGGCAGCTTGAAAAACATGCCAGACATACATGTGAGCGTGTGCCCAGGATCCTGATGGAACAGAGGAATGACGATGGTGCTGTGACCAGGGTCCATTGGGATTTCTCTCTCTCTCTCTCTGACACACATACATGCCCTTTGAGGAGGGGAATACACTCTAAGATTTCTTGAGAAGGACATATGCATGTCCAAGGAGGTCTGTGGCACTGGCACACGCAGGCCGCACGCTCACAACAGATTCCACTCCTTCTGCTCTGCTTGAGAGCAGCCCCCCACGCAGAGTGGGGAGCAGACCCCAACAGACGTGGGAGGGTATGACTTCTGCCTTGACTTCCCTTCCTTCCAAGATTCCCAATCAGGATGAACTAACCTGTCTCCTGAGCCCCGTGGCCGTTACCGTTTTTTACCTCGAATACTGCAGGAAGCCGGCGTAGACACACTTCATCTATCTAGGTCTCGGTTAGCCCTCATAGCAGCCCGAGAACTAAGGACTAGCACCTGATTTTGTGGATGAAAAAAGCCTGAGGTTCTGAAAGAAGTGATGTGCCAAAGCTCGCCCAGCTAGGTGAGGCTGCACTGAGTGTGGAGTCAGTCCTGCACGCCCCCACCCAACCCCATCGCTTTCCAGTTTGCTTTGGGACTGAGGCCTGTGCTGGTCTGGGAGTCAGGTAGCCTCAGCCCTAGTCCAGATTGTGCTACTGTGGGACCGTGGGCAGATCACTGTCCTTATCAGAGCTTCTGCTTCCTCCTCTGTGGGATGACACTGCTGGGACGCCTGCCCTACCCACTCCACAGGGGAGTTGCCAGGTCTCAAACTGTGTAAACGTGCTTTAAAAATGGTTCAGCCTGTTCTTGGCCTCTCTCCCAGGGGCCGTGGGGGGTCCCTTTACTTCTCAGCCAGAGCTGAAGGCCAAGATCAGCCATCCACGATCATCGTCAGGACTGCCAGCAGCCGGGCAGCTTCATTTTCCCAGTTCAGGCATTGGGGGAAAACAGTGGCACAGATTGTAGTGTGACTGTTACCTTTAAATTATTTTGTTGTTGTTTCTTTCTTTCTTCTTTCTTTCTTTCTTCCTCTTTTTGAAGAGGTTTTTGCTATAGGGAGCGTGCACTTGCCAGAAAGAGAGAGACAGAAAGACAGCGAGAAATCACCCCCCAGGGGGGATGGTCACGCCGCAATCCCTTCTCCTCCGTTCTCTTCTCGGGATCTTGGGCATGCACATACACGTGCCCAGTGTGAGTTTCAGCCACTGGGTCTGGGACTCAAACCGCAGTCGCCTATGTAGGAGTCCAGTGACATAGCCATTAAGCCAACTGCTGGTCCCTATTTCTTTCTTCCATAAGGGAGAGAGAAGCACCTTGGACAGGGTTCTGCTCTGCAATGCTCCCCACCACAAGGCTTCCCAGTCAGCCAGGATCATGCACATGCATGCCTGGCATGTGCAAGTCCACAGAGAACCGAACACACGATCTTCCATATGGATTCAGCACTGCTTGAGCAGCATGTCACTGTGACGCCGCAAGTCAGTTGATAGTCTAAGCTTAAGTTCGATTAGTTTATCAATAAATGGCATCATCATTGATCATCAGAAAAAAACCTTCTCCCCCAACATTCAGCTAACTACTCACTCGCTATCCCTTCCACCCACCTGGAAAAGGCCCGCCGCTCACGTGGTCACTCTCGGGTTCCAAGGTTTCGCCTGGCTGCACGCTGAGGTTTTCTAGCAAACTGCTGAGAGAGGAAGCCAGCTCTAGGAATAAGGGAGCCTCTTGAGTTTACATAACTTCCTGCGCCCTGGCCCCAGGCTGAGAACGTGTTGATTCTGGCTGCTAATGGGGTGGCCAGGGGTGGCCAGCTGGGGCCGGGGAAGAGGCGGCTCAGAGATCGCGAACACTGTTCCTGCCGAGATGCGGTGCCTGATTTCGCCGTCGCTGTTGTAACTCTCCTTGCTTGGCCCTTAGTAGATCTTGACCTGTTAATTCCCGGTCCCCAGTCCTGATGACAGGCCCCCGAAGCCACCTTCAGGGTCCTGGGCCTTCTTTCGCCAAACCCAGTTACTTTCTGTCTTGCCCATCCCACCTCCAAAATATGGACGCTATCCCTTTCTCTCACCTCTGCGCCCACATGGCTGTCCACGTTTCGAGTCCCGAACCCAGCAGCTTGAGACTCACACTGGGTACACTGCGTGAGGGCCCAGAATCCTAGGAGAGTGGAGGAGAGGGGATGCAACACAGCCCTCCCCTCCGGGGGGTGATTTCTCACTTTCCCTCCCACTGTCTCTTTCTCCAACCAGCACACGCGCCCTATGGCAAAAACAAAGAGAAACACAAAAACCTTAAAAATTAATAAAAAGGACCTGACCTGTCCTATCCCCGCTTAGCAACTTCTGAAAGCTCCCCATTCTTGCCACTTGAGACCTTTATGCCCTGGCTCCTGCCTCCTCTCCTGCCATGGCCTATAATCCAGCACTATGAACCTTCCTACAAGTTCTCAGACTGACTCTCTAGTCTCCTGGGCCTTGTCTATGTTGTTCCCTCTACCCGAAATGCATTGCTTGTCCTTCTCTACCTCCACTTTGCAGTGCTTCAAAGCTCAACTCAACTGTTACCCCTTCTGTGAAACCTCCCCTAGCCTACTTCAATAGGCCTAGTTCCTCCTCGCCCCCATACAACGCAGTCACTATTTCTGTCTCCCTACAGTGTGAGCTCCTTTCAATGGCTTATTTTGTGTGTCTCTACAGTCCATTGGATGCTCAGCACTGAATGGGCGCTCAGGCTTGCTTTATCAGCACATAAATGCTCACGGTGCTGTTAAAGAAGCCACACCCCAATCCTCTCCTGTCTCTACTGTAGAGTTCTCTCAAGATGCTCCCCCTTCCCATCAGATCTGCATCTGCCTCCAAAATTTGCCTTCTCTTTGTGGAAAGAGCTCCCCTAAGACATTCCTCAGTGAGTGTATGTAATACAATGGCTTTTAGATGGACCCAGGCATACTTCTTCTGCCTCCATGGCAATCCTGCATTCAAGTGCCCTGGGCTCGGATTCTCCGTCGTGCAACAGTGGTTCACACAGGCGGACTTATAGGCTCTGCAGGGACGTTGTTATGGCCAGCACATAGTAGGTGTTCATTAAAGATACATGAAAGGAACATAGTTCCTTCTCAGCTGGGGTGTCATGGATATTCAATGGGCGTGGAATCGATTGGAAGGCAAAGAAGCTGCTTCTTCGCTGAGACTGTGGGCAAGCCATTTCACATTGCTGAGCATGTTTCCAACCGCCCTAACCTGGGTGTGGTGACACCCAGTGCTTCAAAGCATAAAAAGGATGAATGAGATGTAAGCGCCTGCTATGGCACCTAACTGAGCTCAGCGAACGTGTTCATTTCGTTCGTTTGCAGACTCCGTCCATCAAGCCTAAGGCGGTCTCAGGCCCCTAGTTGTCACACTCCTTGTTTTATTGATTCCCACTGTCTTAAGGAATTATTTATTTAATCTTATTTATTCATTCATTTATTTTAATTTGAACAGAAAGAGAAAGTGAGAAAGCAAGCCGCCAGGTCCAGGACTTGGACCGTGGTCAGCCATGTGGGAGTGTCCAGCGCCTTAACCACCACACCACCTGCTGGCCCCCCCTTCTGCTCTTTTAAGTCAGTATCCAGGCCAAAATGACTTCTGCCCTCATATCAACCAGTGTGATGTGGGAACCACCTAGCTTTGAGTTCTCACACTGGCACTTCCAAGCTGGGAGTTTGGACCCGTCTGCCCACCCACAATGGGAACACAGCACCACTTACCTCAAGGGCTGCTGCAAGGATTAAATGAGATCTGTGTACAGTGGATGAGACGGGCAAAAACTACTGCAACTTGCCTGGTGTATAGAAGCAGAAGGGCGCACCTGCAAAGCCACACAAGAGCTCATGCTGCCCCCTGGTGGACAAAAGGGCACACAGCCCAGCAAAGATACCTGCAAAGACCTGGGAAGGAGAAACCAGGTCACACAGGAGGAACCTCTCTGCTCACTAGGGAGCTCGTGCTTTACATTGAAATATTTAGTGAGGGGACCAGCAGATGGCGTAGTGGCTACGTCGCTGGACTCCCATGTTGTCCACTGTAGGTCATGTCCTGGACCCAGTGGCTTAAACTCGCCGGGCGCAGGTGTGTGTGTGCCCAGGATCCCGAGAGGAGATAGGAGAAGGGATTGTGCATGGCCATCCCTCCTGGGTGGTGATTTCTTGCTTTCTGTCTCTCTGTCTCTATTTTCTGGCAAGCACATGCGCCCTATAGCAAAAACTTCTCTCTCTCTAAAAAAAGAAATCTAGTGAGCATGTACACCGGAATGTCTCAGATACTAATGTACTTGTTCAAATGCAGAATAGTTCAGACTCAATAGTTCGGGGGTAGGACGAAATCTCTAACAAACCTCTAGGTGACACTGAAGCTACTGGCCCATGAAACAGTCAGAGTAAAGGAGGCCTTGGGTATAATTAGGAGGGACATAACAAGAACTATTTATTAAGTGTCTATCACATGCCAGTTACTGACTACCCAGTTAGCTTACTTAGCTAGTAGAGCCCTCAGGGTCCTGTGGGGTAGGTACTGTTTACATTGATTTTTCTGATGAAAGAGCACAAAGAGATAAAGCACCTTGCTACACCAGTAAGGGGCGGGCCTGGGGCAGCCCAGCCTCAAAGCCTACCAGGGAGACTTACGGGGCATGGAGGGGCATGTGCCCGAGGGCCAGGGGCTGAGGCAGGAAACTGGCGGGTGCTGTGATCTAGGAGAGGTGAGGCCTAAGCTAGGGCAGTGGCTGTGGGATGGCTACGAGGGGACACAGAAGAGAGAACAGGTGGGACCTGGCCATAGACTGGCTGTGGGTCTGAGAGGGGACAGTCTGTGGGGACTCTGGGTGTCCATGCTGGACAATTGAGAGACGGTGGAAGGTACTTACTGAGTGGTGAACAACACGGGGAGCAAGCTGCAGGGGTGGTGAGTTCAGTTTTTGAAGTAACCAGGAAGTGGCTCTGGAACATCAGGGAGGACCACGAGGAGGCAGATGAACCCAAGTGTCTAGAGCTAGGAGACAACCGATTATGGATAGATGCGGTTGTCAGCCTGAAACCAGAGTGACTGTGGTCACATGGACAGTGCAGTCTGTGCTGTTCTGGGCCAGAGCTAACAGCGGATGGCTGAAGGGATGGGACTGGGGTCCACGTCTCCTGGGCTGTAGTCGAGGCTAGCTGTCCATGTCACTGGGTACCGTGGGTCTGACGGGCTACCGGGAAAGGGTTCTGGAGTATAACCAAGTCCATGTCTCCTGCCCCCAGGTCCCAGAAATAAAGGCAATTCCGCAGAGAACAGGTCAGTAAAGGTTGGGAGATATTTATTCTCTTTAAACAAGGTCATAAATAACAAAGAAACAAAGTAGGTCCCTGACTCTGGACCGCGCAGCAGGACAGGGACAGGAAGTGGGTGGGTGGAAAGGCGCAGGGGCTACGCATCACCTAAGGCAGTCACAGAGAAGACGGGCTTCAGGAGCCTGCCCCTCCCTGCCCCTGGGAACGGCGTGCCTGGGCAGCAGGGGAGGCCACAGGGCTGTGATGAGGCGGCTGAAAGAGGGCAAAGACAGAAGCTGGGCTGTGACGTGTCTACGGAGTGACGTGGAAAGCACAACGGTGGAGACAAGCGGTGGGCCTAGAAGAGGCAAGCGGGCACTCTGCACACCTCCAGGAACCAAGGATGAAAATGGATAAATCGGACTAAAAACAACTCCACAGGCTTTGGCCTGTGACTTTGTGCACGGGCTGTATTTAACCTGGTGGCTCTGTGGCAGGGGGGGGCTCCAGGGGCCCCCGGGGCGGCCCGGCCCC